TGTGGCTTAATGGTCAGAGCAGCCAGTGCAAGGCACCTTTCTCCTTGTCTTCTGCCCCGTGACCAGTGCCAGTGCTGGGTTGTACGCTCACAGCCTGCTTGCTCGGGAAGCCTGAAAAGTTCTAAAGTTGTCACATCACTACACCAGCTGTTGGCAAGGCTGTGTCATATGGCCGAGAAGTAGAAATCAGCCTTCTGTTGCAGCACAGGTTGGGGTACGTTTTGGTTGGTCATCCAGGTGCATCATAGGCTCTCACATGCATAGCTCTGTGTCAAATAACTCTAGGTTCAGACAATCACAGAATAGCTTAGGTTGGAGGGAACCTTAAAGATCTCCTAGTTCTAATCCCCCGCTGTGGGCTGATTGTCACCCGCCAGCTCAGGATGCCCACAACCTGTCCAACCTGGCCTTGAATATCTCCATGGCTGGGGCATCCACAGCTTCTCTGGGCTTCCTAATCCCATGCTCCACCACACTCTGAGTAAAAAATTCTCCTAATTGGTGTGTAAATGCACAACGAACTATGTTGTGGGTTGTATCCTTTCCTAGTGACAGTGCATTTGGGCTTCCTGTAAGAAGCACAGATTATCCAACCTAGTTAGGGATCCTTGTTATATACCACTTGTCAGGAAGAAGGCATACGATAGTTAAAAGCTGAAGACAATTTTGGAATGGCTGTAATTTGCTGTGCTGATCTCAGCAATGCAGGTCCTCCAGCAGGAATGACTTGCTGGGAAGAATTCTCCCTTAGTGGAATGCTTTAAATCAGATGCAGGAAAAGACTTTTTAGGGCTCTTTAGGAACTGATGCCCTGTTTCTAGCTGTAGAAGATAGGCTTGTGCTCAAGACTGAAATCAGATCTAGTGTCAAAACATCTGAATTTAAGCCAAATGGTTCCCTAAGTAAGGAATGCAAGCAAAGCATCACAGCTTTCTGTATTAGGAAGCACAGGTGCCACAGGTGCAGTTCCCAGTGTTGAGCAAGCTGTGCTGGAAGCTGCAGCATTGACTTGTAGGAGACATCTGGGATTAGCTCCTCAGGGACAGGCGTGTAGTGCTGGGAGGTGATCATAGAATCAAAAAATCATAATCATTGAAAATGATCACTCAGATAATGAAGTCCAAACATCAACCCACCACCACCATACCACCACCACCATACCATGTCCCTCACTGCCACATCTCCATGTTTCTTGACATGTTTCTTTCAGGGAAGGGGACTCTACCATCACCCAGCACAGCCATGATACTCTACAGCTGCTTTGGTTTCACCAAGGATGGACCTTTGTTGGTCTTTCTTCCATGAATGCAAAGTAGGAAAAGTTCTTTTATGCTGCAGCGAGAGTTAGTTATTAAAAATAAATAGGTAGGTAGGTAAGTAGGTAGGTAGGTAGATAGATCGGTGGATTGATATTCCTTCCTGACCATATTTTTTTGTGACATGTACACACGATGCAACATTTTCTGTTAACATTTCTTAAGATGGGTAGGTGTAAGGAATACGTGACAATATAGAGAAATACAGGAGAAACATGCTCACTGATCCATGGTATCCCAGCATCAATTCCAGTATATAAACTTAAAGATGTTAAAATCAAATAGTTATTCCTGCTTCAGTGCCCAAAGCAAGCAGAGATCTGGCGTGTGCTTTCCCCTTCAGACACCGATAGCTTCACTCTGCTTTCTGTATAAACAAGGGCTAAGAACTGTGCAGTAATACACTGCTTACTTAACTCCATTCAGCCTAACTCTATTCAGGCTAAGTAAACAGGCAATATGAACTGCTTTAAAATAATAATAATAATAATAATAAGCTGATGGGAAAGCATCTTTCAACTAATCGTGAACTCAGTTTGCCACTTGGCCCTTACCTCAGCCTTCCTGCAGGCCTGGGGCTGTTCCCCATTCCCTTCTCCTCAATTGGAGTTGATCAGACTCGCAACATTCCTCCTCATCTGCAATTCGCCCTCATCAAAAGTCATTCTCTGCAGTCAATGTCTGGCGTGACTTCTTGCTGCAGAAAAGAAAAAGAAAAAGAAAAAGAAAAAGAAAAAGAAAAAGAAAAAGAAAAAGAAAAAGAAAAAGAAAAAGAAAAAGAAAAGGAGAAACAGCAGGAAAGCTCACTTTTAGAAAGAAACATCATGTTTTATTCTGTTTTGAATGAAACATAAAAGACAATGCAAGTGTTCTGGACATTGGTGACAGGTGAACGGCTGGATGATCTTGGAGGTCTTTTCCAACCTTTATGATCCTATGATTCTAAGAAAGGAAGAAGGCGGCCGTGCCGCATCGCACGGCTGTGCTGTTACCCATCTCCGGCTTTGCTTTTCTCCCACGAAGCGCTGCCCAGAACGCGGCGCAGCACTCGGGAATTTCCGCGCCTCCGGAGCCTCCCTATCCGCCCCGCACACACCGCCAGGTGGCGCTGCGCTGCGGCGCCGTGCGGAAGCGGGTACCGCTGTCACCGCTGTCACCGCCCGGCGGGCCCCGAGGTGCCAAGGCACGGCGGCAGGCAAAGCTCCCGCGGAGCTGCAGGGATGGCTGTTTTCAACTCGACGTTCATGAACACGCTCCACAGCACCAGGTGTAGGTTCAAATCCTGCCGGTATATGGATGCAATGTCTGCGCAGTAAATTCCCATACCTATAGGTGCATGTACATACATATGTGTGTATTCCATGCGTAACACGGCTTTATGTTTACAGACACAACGAACTTTCCGAGCAACAGCACATTCAATGCCTTCACTCCAGCTGATAGGACAAGAGGGAGTGGCTTCAGGGCCACAAAGGGAGGTTCAGGTTGGGTTTTAGGAACAATTCCTCCAGATGGAGTGGTGATGCATTGGCACAGGCTGCCCAGGTTGGTGCAGTCACTGTGCCTGGAGTTGTGGAGATGTGGCACTGAGGGACATGGACAGTGGGCATGGTGGGGATGGGCTGGTGGCTGGACCGGCTGATTTTAGTGGGCTTTTCCAGTCTTCACGATTATGTGGAGTTGGATTTGGAGGTGTAACATCAGTAACATCAGCTATCAACTTAAGTCACAGTTTCCTTCTCATATCTTCCCATTTCTCTCATTCTGTTCTCACTGTTCATCTGAGCTCTTCTTCTTTGCTCGGTGTACATCTTTTTTCCATGTCCTATTTGTTAGCTAAATCCCAAAATGTACCTGGCTAATAAGCCATATAAGCTGGCTAACTAATAAACCATACAAGCATTACTCCTATGGCAGCAATACCCCCATAATCCACTCGGACTACATTCCACTCAACATCACAAAAATGCTCAGCAGGAGAGAACGAGTTATCAGGAACCTCTCCACTTAGGTGAAACAGCACTAAGTAGCAAATGCAATGGGGAAATCTGAGAGCAGAGAGTGCATGTGGCAAGGATGAGGCTGCAGATATCTCTCATTGCCATGTTCAGAGCCTCTGCTTCCATGATGAGCACAGACACTGTGGGCAATGGCTGTGCTGCCCACAGACGGCTCTTTTGCTAGTTTTCCATCAGCCAACTCCATTTGCATGGGAACTGATCACAACAGGATCACTGATTTAATTGTGAGGTTTGTGAAAGTATTTGTATTGTCACTGGGCAAGCCAAGAGATTCTATGGTTTAATGCAAAAGCTGTGTTTGAATGAAATGTGCAGTCTCTGTGCATACAACATCAGTGCCAGTGGAAACAGCACACACAGCAGAGCTGCTGTCGCTGGGACTGCGTGACCCAGGCACTGCCTCCATGCACTCCATGGTTCAGGATTCTATTGGGCAAAAAGGCTGTGGAACGAGGGAATCCCTGATCTTAAGTTAAAAGGTTTTGAGTGATTGGCATTTTGTAAAAACTTGTAATATTTGAGTCCCAAACACTCAAATCTTAATGCTGGTGGGCGATGTATAACAAAGAGAGAGGAAAAATGAATATGAAATGAATGCTGGCATCCTGAGCTGGAAGAGACTACCAGGGTTCATCGAGTCCCACCCTTTGCTCCACACAAGTACACCCATGGATTTGCTGCCCATAAAGATGGACAAAGGTCTGTAATCACATATAAATATGAGCAGTTCTGCACCATGTGAGTCAAGGGGCTGGCTCTGTGCAGGTAAGGACCAGAAGCAACAGAGTATATTTAAATGCCATCCCACTGATTAACTGGTGTGTCGGTCCAAATTCTGTGTACAGTGAGTGTTAGAAAGGAAGAAGGAAGGAAGGAAGGAAGGAAGGAAGGAAGGAAGGAAGGAAGGAAGGAAGGAAGGAAGGAAGGAAGGAAGGAAGGAAGGAAGGAAGGAAGGAAGGAAGGAAGGAAGGAAGGAAGGAAGGAAGGAAGGAAGGAAGGAAGGAAGGAAGGAAGGAAGGAAGGAAGGAAAGAGAGAGAGAGAGAAAGAGAGAGAGAAAGAGAGAGAGAAAGAAAGAAAGAGAGAGAGAAAGAGAGAGAGAAAGAAAGAAAGAGAGAGAGAACGAGAGAGAGAACGAGAGAGAGAGAACGAGAGAACGGGAAGGGAAGGGAAGGGAAGGGAAGGGAAGGGAAGGGAAGGGAAGGGAAGGGAAGGGAAGGGAAGGGAAGGGAAGGGAAGGGAAGGGAAGGGAAGGGAAGGGAAGGGAAGGGAAGGGAAGGGAAGGGAAGGGAAGGGAAGGGAAGGGAAGGGAAGGGAAGGGAAGGGAAGGGAAGGGAAGGGAAGGGAAGGGAAGGGAAGGGAAGGGAAGGGAAGGGAAGGAAGGGAAGGGAAGGGAAGGGAAGGGAAGGGAAGGGAAGGGAAGGGAAGGGAAGGGAAGGGAAGGGAAGGGAAGGGAAGGGAAGGGAAGGGAAGGGAAGGGAAGGGAAGGGAAGGAAGGGAAGGGAAGGGAAGGGAAGGGAAGGGAAGGGAAGGGAAGGGAAGGGAAGGGAAGGGAAGGGAAGGGAAGGGAAGGAAAGGAAAGGAAAGGAAAGGAAAGGAAAGGAAAGGAAAGGAAAGGAAAGGAAAGGAAAGGAAAGGAAAGGAAAGGAAAGGAAAGGAAAGGAAAGGAAAGGAAAGGAAAGGAAAGGAAAGGAAAGGAAAGGAAAGGAAAGGAAAGGAAAGGAAAGGAAAGGAAAGGAAAGGAACATACAAGTAGGAAATATTATGTTGTTGGACATTGGTAGAGGAAACCTTAGGTGCTGTACCTGATAATGAATCCGTACTATGGGTGTTTTTAAGATCCTAAAACTTTTCACACAGTGAAACCTTCAGTGTAGTACAGTAAATATTCGTTACGGTGCTCCAACAGATAGTGCGCACACATTCGGGATAAATGGAGCAGAGCTGTTCAGGTGACACAGTGCAACTTTGGTGCACTGTTCGATCCATTTCTGCTTCCGTTCTTCTATCAGAGACTGCAAATGAATCCCACTTCTGAAAATTCCTGGAAATAGATGAAAAGCCGAACGCAGGAGTTACACACTGCGGTATTTATTGCACTGGAAAATTCAAAAGCTTCAGTTACTGACTGAGAGACGCACCTGGCCGTTTGGATGTGTCGCTTTGCCTCTTATTAGCAAATCAATTGAATCCTGCCTGGGCCGTGTTTCTGTCCTGCAGGTAAATAAATAGGTCGGAAGATGACAACATATAACGGCGCAGCAGTGGGAAAGCCGACATAAAAGCAGGGACGGAGCGGAGGAGCGGACTGACGCGAGGCGCTGCTCTGCCCGGGGACGGTCCCACTCCTCCCGGGCCGTATGGTGCGAGAGCAGCGGGTGCTCACAGGGATCCTTCGGGGAGATCTACGGGGGGGGTAATGGGGTGGGGGGGGCCAGAAGGGGGGGGACGGAGCAGAGGGAGGTGCAGTGGATCGCTTCGCCCCGCGGCCCCGAGCGACGCCACGGCCGCACCGCGCCGCGCACGGCGGGCAGCGCTCCGGCGGCTGTGCGCTTCGGCTGTAAACGTCCATAGGAATGTTGGTGCTCGGAGCTCCCGGCCCCAGGGACACGGCTTTTCCCCATATAAGGACTGTGAGCGGAGAGGGCACTGCCGCCCGCTACGAAAGCCCTCCGAGCTCATTTGCTGAGGGTTTGTCACGTCTGTACGATGAAAATCCCGGCTGCCGGCAGGACATCTGCGCGCTCCCCGCGTTTGATAATACGTTCAAATCCAAAAATAAGGAATATTTTTTCATATTAGGGAGAGATACGGGCGGTGCATCCCTCTGCCGCTGGAGCCCACAAGTTCGGAGCGACGCAGGGACGGGGCTGCGGTGACCCGACGGGGCTGTCACCGCCGTGCGGCCGCGTTACCTCGGAAATAGCTGGGCGGCATTTAGGAAATAGAGATAAAAGCAGACGAGATTTTCCCGCAGAAGCAGCGAGCTGCACGGGGCACGCTGGCATTCGTTGGTGGCACAGACCAGGTGCAGCCAGGAGGCGGCTCCCCCCAGCCTGCAGCCGCTCCTCCCGGGAGCTCCGTTCGTGCAGTTACCGTCTCCCAGACGTCTCCGGCAGAGCCGGAGGAGGCTGCGGGGTTTGTGACTCCGTGTTTGTCGGGAGAAGAAGCGGGGACATTGTAACGTGATGCTCAACCCAAGCAGGATTCTGCTCCTAGAGGGGAGATCGAAGATCGAATTTAAGGGAAATGTGTGTTACGATAAGGCTGGTCAGGCTGGAACAGGTTGCCCAGAGAGGCGGTGGCTGCCCCGTACCTGGAGGCACTCAAGTTCAGGCTGGACGAGGCTGCGAGCACCTGATGGAGCTGTAGGTGTTCCTGTTTGTTGTAGGGGAGTTGGGCTAAATGGCCCTTCAGGGCCTCTTCCAACTCAAACGACTCTATAATTCTACGACACGTCCTTCTCAGTTCCGGTGCCTCAGCGCACAAGTTGCTGGTTACCTCAGAAATGTTCGGGCTTATAGAAAGATAATATAGAAAATAAAATAAAATTTAAAAAATAAAAATAAAGTAAAATAAAATAAAATAAAATAAAATAAAATATTTTTAAGAGAGGGAAAAAAAAAAGAAAAGAAAAAGAAAGAAAAAAATGAAAAAGGGGAAAAAACAAAAACAAAAACGAAAACAAAAACGAAGCAAACGAGCGCAGCCCCCGTTCCCCCCCGGCGTCCCGCAGCGGGCAGTGCGGCCGGACCACCTCTAGGGGGGGCAGCCGCCCGCCGGCAGCTCCGGGCCGGCCCCAGCCCCGGCTGCATGGGAGCGGCGCGGCGGGGGCTGCCCGTGGAGGGTCTGCGCCGAGGAACCGACACGGGGATCTCCCGTAAAGCGACCCGGGAGGTGGGTTCGACTCTGCGCTTCCATCCGCCTTCCCCCTCCCGGCGCCGACGGCCCCGCCGCCAATCCCTGGCGCTTACCCCGCTCGTTTTCCCTCCGAGCTGTTGATGTCGGGCCGATGGAGAAGAGATCGCCCTGGGTGGGAGAATAAAGATCAAAATGGAAAAAAAAAAAAAAAAGAAAAAAGAAAAAAGGAAAAGAAAAAGAAAAAGAAAAAGAAAGGAGTGCGGCTCCTCGGCCTCTTGCCGGGACAGCCCGGTGCCTCCCGGCCTCAGAGCCCCGCTCCCCCTCCGACAGCGCCCGCTCAGCCCCGCACAGCCCTGCACAGCCCCGCACGGCGCTCTCCGCCTCGCACTCCCCTGCAGTTCTCACAAGCGGCTCCGTCGGGGCGGGGCGGCGGGCTCAGGGGCACAGCGGGAGCTCCGTCAGACGGCCGACGCCGCCGGCTCCGCACCGCTTACCGGAGAGGCATTCTGTATTTTCTCCCTTTATTTTCGGACGGGAGCGCTGTTCGTCGGTTCCCGCAGCCCTCCGCGCACCGACGCCGTCCCCAGAACCACGCGGGGCGGTGCGCGGTACCCCCTCGCGCTGCAGTCGCGTTCCGTGCGCGTCGCTTTCCGACTCGCCCTCGGTCCGGGACCGCCGTGCTCCGGGAAGGCCCCGCCGCGCCGCTCGCACCCTCCTCGGCCGCCCCGTCCCGCTCGGCCCCGCCGGGCCAGAAGGGGTTAATGCTCCGCGCGCCCCGCCGCGCGCCCCGCGGAGCGGCATCGCCCCGCGGCGGGGAGCCAATCGGAGCGCGCCCCGCGCGCCCGCCGCCCAATGGGGAGGCGCGGGGCCGGCGCTGTCACGCGGCGGTGAGGGATGACAGCGCCGCCGGGAGAAAAAGCGGAGGGCGGGCGCGGGGCGGGACAGAGCGGGGCGGAGGCAGCGCCCGCGCCGCCAGGGACCCGCGGCGGCGCCCGGTGGAGCGCGGCCCGGCCCCGGCCCTATGGGCGGGCGGGCCGGCGGCGCACACAGCCTGCCCCCGCTGGCGCCCGCCCTCCCGGCGGCACACAAGGGCCCGGCAACGGCGGCGGCGCGGCCGCGGCCGGAGGCGGCGATGCGGACGCCCAGCTGAAGTTGCGGCGCCGTCGCTGCTCTCCGCCCGGGGCCGCCGGGCCATGGCCGTCCGCGGCGGCGGCGGCACCGCCCTGACGCCTTTCTCCATCCAGGCCATCCTCAACAAGAAGGAGGAGCGCGCCCGCGGCTGGCGGCTGTGTGCTGCCCGCGCCGAGGCCCCGCCGCCGCCCGCCCCGCGCCCGCCGCCCGCCTGGGACTCGGACTCGGCGCTGAGCGAGGAGCCCGAGAGCGAGCGGCGCTCCGAGGAAGAGAGCGCCGGGGGCAGCGCCCGCCCCAACGAGGCGGCGGGCAGGGGGCGGCCGGCGGCGGAGGCGCGAACTTCGGAGGCGGCGGCGGAGCGGGACCGGGACCGGGACGGAGCGCGCAGCGACAGCGAAGCGTCGGCCACCGCTTCAGGTATAGCGGCGGGATGGGACGGGACGGGACGGGGTGGGGGGGCGGCGGGCGGTGAGTCGGGAGGGCGGGGGGGGCGGTGATGGACGCGGGGTGTCCCGGCGTCCGCGGGCCGTGACGCCGCGCTCTGCCCTGCCCGCAGGTCGCGGCCCGGCCGAGGAGGAGGAAGCGGCGGGCGGGAGGCTGCTGGCGGCCGAGGAGGAGGCGGCGGCGCCGAAGCCGCGCAAGAAGCGCTCCCGCGCCGCATTTTCCCACGCGCAGGTGTTCGAGCTGGAGCGGCGCTTCAACCACCAGCGCTATTTGTCGGGGCCCGAACGCGCCGACCTGGCCGCCTCCCTCAAGCTGACCGAGACGCAAGTGAAGATCTGGTTCCAGAACCGCCGCTACAAAACCAAACGGCGGCAGATGGCGGCCGACCTGCTGGCCGCCGCCCCCGCCGCCAAGAAGGTGGCCGTCAAGGTGCTGGTGCGCGACGACCAGAGACAGTACCAGCCCGGCGAGGTGCTGCGGCCGCCCTCGCTGCTCGCCCTGCAGCCCTCTTACTACTACCCCTACTACTGCCTGCCCGGCTGGGCCCTGTCCTGCGCCGCGGCCGCCGGCACACAGTGAGCGCCCCGACGGCACCGCCCCGACGGCAGCGCCGCGGCGCCCCGGACAGTATTTATTGCTATTTTATTGTTATTTTTATTATTAATATTATTCGGACGGTCGCTCAGCCTCTCCCCATCCGCCCCGGCCGCCGAGGACTCGTGGCCTGGCACCGCCGTTCCGTGGGATCCACGCTGTGGTGCGATGGCTGCGGACTGTTTGTTGGTTTGTTTGCTCCGTCCTGTGTCGGATTGGCGGAGACTGACCAGAGAGAGACAAAGAGAGAGGGGGGAAAAAAAAACAACACCCGAAGCGCCGCGGAACTGAACGCAGCTCCGAGGAGAATGGATCCAGGGGGGCTCTGAGAGTGCCATGAGCGGGGCTGAATGTACGGAGCCTCTCCCACCCCCGCCCGTATCGGCGCACTGCGAAGGATAGCCGTGTCCCAAGGGTGAGACCCGCCCCAACGCTCCAGGCTTCTTCTTCTTCTTCTTCTTCTTCTTCTTCTTCTTTTTTTTTTTTTTCCTGAGATCTTTCCGTGTTCGGGGAGGGAGGATTCTGGATTTTTCGCACTTTCCAGTTGTATTAAAGTTGTTGTTATTATTTTTATATTCAATGTGAATATTTCTAGGCAGGCTTTAAAAAAAAAAAAAAAAATCGATGTAACGAGAAATGTTAATGCCATTGTGCCTTTTGTGCAGTCGTTCTGCAGCCCTCCTCAGAAGTGTAATTACGGTCTCTTTCCCTCGAGGTAACCTATCGCTTTGTTTCTTTCTTTCTTTTTCTCCCTTTAATGGCACTGTGCACTCAACGACGTTATCGACTCCAAATGAATTGTGAATGTGTGTAAGCAGCCCGCTGTACTTTTTTTTTTTTTTTTTTTTTTTTTTTTTTAATTTATAAATGTTACATTACCACCTCGCTGTGCCGCGTGTGTCGTTCCTCGGCCTCTTGCGGGGGGACGCGGAGCCCCGGGGCCGCTCCCGGGAACAGCGGTTGGGAGCCGCGGGCACGAGGAGGATGCGGCGGGGGGAGCGCGGGGAGCACGGAATCCGTCGTTCTGGCAGAGCCGGGGCGGGACGAGCAGCTCGATAGCTCCCGGAGACAGCTCGGAGCCCGGCCGCGTAACCCGCCGGGGCCCCGTAGCCGCTTCGAGCAGCCTCGGTCGCCGCCCTCAACCGGCCCGGACCGGGAGCGCGATGCCGGCGCTGGGGCCGCGTTCCCCCATCCGTCATTTCGGGCCCCGCTGTAGTTTCGCTCTTCCCAGGCTCCCTGCGGGTGGGACCCAGCGGGGATCCCGCAGCGAGGGGCCGAGACCGAGCCGCCCGCCTCAGCATTGGGTCCGGGTTTGATTTTTATTTCAGTTCTTTCATCGTTTTTACCCCTGTTTAGCCTTTATCCAGGCGGACGGGGCTCAGGCGCAGCCGCGGACGCAGTAGGTTCCGGAGCCGGGAGCCGGTGGGGCTTTGCGTGCAGCGATTCGGGGAACGCTGACAGCGATGAGGCCCTATGCTGAAACCATTTTCCTTTCTTTCTCTTTCTTCTCCTTCTTCTTTCTTTCTTCTCCTTCTTCTTCTTTTTCTTTTTAACCATTTCCTCCCGCCTTTCTCTCTTCTTTCCTTCCCGGGAAAATGAACAAGGGTTTCCCATAGCTAGCAGAGCCTTACGTGCTCCCCGCCCCAACGCCCCGTTCCCTCCCGCACGCTCCGGTCGCCCCCCACGGGCACAGAGCCGCCGGATCCTATGGGACCACTGAGGGCCACACAGGGCCTCGCCCCGGCGGGGCGGTGCCGGGTCGCTGTCACACCGCTGTCCCTCTATGTCACTGCGGGCTCCGGGGCGGGCAGAGCTCACCCCGAGGCGCTCCTTCCCCGCAGCGCTCCGCGTTTCGTTCTTTCCCTTCGTGGCCGCGGGAGGGATAGCCCGATGCTGCACAACGCGCGGGGGACGGCGACACAGCCTCGAGCTGCGCTGTAGGAGCCCGAACAGCTGAGATGCGCTTCGTGCGAGACGGAAATAGCTAAAACGGAGGATCCGGATGCTGTTATTAGAGTTGTGGGGGCAATGTTCGACAGCGAGTGTCCGAGCTCCTCCGACGCCGTCATTTGGCGTTGGCAAAATTGGAGAAACGTCGATATTTGCATCGGGGAAATCGAACGGATCGTTTGACGGAATTTCGCGGCAGTTCAGAGGCGTTCCTGTCCCCCGTAAGAGTACGATGTGAAGCACAAAGCAGCGCTCTGTGCCTTTCTGTCTCTTCCCGATGACAAACCGCAGCGCACCGCCCGGAGCGGAGCCGGGGCCGAAGGGATCCGCCCGGTTTAGGGACACAGCTCTCAACCCCGGACGCGTTCGGCCCCGCAGCGCAGCACCGGTCCCAATGCAGAAACCCCCTCCCGTCGCCGTGTCCCTGCCCTAGGCTTTGCCTCAAAGTTCAGATCGGCTTCGAGGCCCTGGGAATGTTTTACAGCCGGCCGTGTGCAGACTGCGCAGTTACCTAAGGGAAAAGCAGGACAGGGAAAGAGAGGGAACAGCCGCAGCTCCGAGCAATCCGACTGTTGCCATAGAACATGAATGGCGTACATCTCTGCGTGTGTCTCCCCAGGCGCTTGTGTAGGGGGGGTTGAAGCGCGCTCACAGATCGATCCCGAGACCCGAGGCCGACTGAAGGCAGGTGCCCCCCTCCCACAGGGCCATAAACCAGGAAACCGTGGGCATTTCCCTGCACACACAGTACACCGCTCAGGTAGAGATCAGCCTCTCATCTCCAGGAGAGACAGGATGCTGGAAAACCTCGGGCGCAATTCGGATGCCCGCAGCCCGCACGCTCTCTGGCCCTGCGGGTACCGTAGCCCGGAATTGCCCCGTGCTCGTCTGCTTTGCGGGATCCCGGCAGCTGTGTGAGGGGTTTTGCCCGGCACCCTTCGGCCCCGCGTCCCGAGGGCCGCAGGAGGGCTGTTTTGTGCCTATGATTCTGTCTGGGAGAGCTCGGCTGTCCGAGCCCCGTGGGCTCTGAGCAGCGGCCGTGCCCTGCAGTAGAGGGGTGTCCATCGCGGTGCTGCTCTCCAAGGGTTTCTTGGAAACGGGGCTGAGGGGGCCTTTCAGGTACTTTTAGCCCCCACATCTCGCTCAGTAGCAAAGAGATCGAAAGGATAGAAGCGCCCTGCGGCGGGCAGAGCCCTTCTTGTCTGGGACAAAGACCGAGAGCATCCCGCAGGGACGAACTATTGGATGTCCTTCTTGATGGGAAACGGCGGGGGGACGGGAGGCGGGGGGGGAAGTGAAGACCTGGTGCTCGGCTGCTGCTGGTACTCGGGGAACTTCAACCTATTATTGCTGTTATTGTTACCATTATTACTATTATTCTTATTTCTATTTCTGTTACATTTCTGTTTCTATTATTTCTATCATTTCATTTCTAAATCAAACACCCAAAGCACGGGAACCCAAAAGGCTCTACAAGCTTCTTCTCACTCGGTCGGCTGCAGCCGCAAGCCGTATCCCGGCACGGAACGGCTCCAGCCCCGCACAGGGTCTCTCCCCCGCGCTGCAGAGCGGAGCTGTGCGCAGCCCTCGGGCTGTCGGCGTTCTGCACGCAGCTCTGCGCTGCGCCGCGCCGCACACGGCCGGAGAAAGAAAGCCTTCGTGTCGCGAAGGACTCGAGTGATAATTGGGGATGAAATGCGCGTGGAGAGGACTAATATTATCTTTGGCTCGCGAGGGAATAATACAGATTGGCGAAGCGGGTGAATAAAAGAGAGGAGAGAGAGCCGGCTCGGAGGTCGAGTAGCAGAGGGCTGGGGAGCGGCCCGGGCAGTGCCGGGGGTGCGGGAGGAGCCGATCCTGGGCGGTAGCATCGCCGCATAGGGGGGATGGCTTTGTGCCGCCGTTGTGCCGAGCGGTGCTTCAAGGGAGCAAAGCAAACAACTATTTCACTTTCTCTAATTAAAAGAATTATTCTTGTTTTTAAAAAGGACTATTCGCAGCTCCTTTTATCTAATTAGGAGCAAACAATCGTCGCGAACGGGAAATTTCTGCTGCTTTTTTCCCGGAGAATGCAGCAAGAGAAAGATCTGTGAGGTCGTTGGGTGATTGTGTTGCTGCCCTGCGGGGTGCGGGCTGTCACTCTGTCAGGTGTCTCCGAGGCTGCTTTAATTTGTTTCCATTTTGACCAATTTATCGGATTACAAAATAATAACGATGCCTGGGAGAGATGGGCGCTTTGCTCGCTCTCAGCGAAACCCTTTACTCGGTGCTTTGCGATCTGCAGCCACGGCATCGCGGCCCCGGGAGTGGTGGGCGAATGGCAGCGTCCGAATGGCAGAGTGTGACCAAAAGTACTCCCGGAGATGCTCAGATATCCGCTTCGCTGTTTCTGTCTTTCTTTCTTTCTTTCTTTCTTTCTTTTTTTTTTTTTTTTTCCTTTCTTTTTTCTATTTTTATTTTGTTTTTAATTCCGAACAAACGACTTCACGAAAGAAGAATTAGAAGAGAAGGGAGAGGCTGCGAAAAAAAAAAAATGTAGCAAGCACTCCTTAAAGGGGAAAGTAATAATAATAATAATAATAATAATAATAATAATAATAATAATAATAATAATAATAAAACGACATTTTATCTTATGAAAAATATAGGGAAGTGGAAATTGCTTAGAAATTGCTCGCGCTTCGGGAAGAATCTCTTTCCCAAAGCCCTTTACCAGAGGCCCCGGAAGCTGCGCGGTGCCTTTGCCGAGGGCCAGGACACTCGGGTTCGTCCCTCGCGGTGCCACCGCGCAATGCTGCGCAGCGCAGCTCAGCTGCTGTCCCCAGACGGCACCGCCAGAGGCTCCGGCCTCCCCCCCCCTCCCCCAAGTCCCTCGATCGCCGCTGTGAAGAAGCGGGGAGGGTCCCTCTGTGCCCGCCGTGTGTATTTGTAGTTCGATTTCACACGTCAAGGGTAATTTCTTCATACGACTTAATGGACGTGGCTTGACATCCATAATGATCGCTAATCATTCAAATTATTTTTGCTAGCGCCCAGACATGTTCCAGTTGTTGTGATAGATCGCGTTTCACCCATAATGACGGACAATTACCATTTCTAATTCGCCGACTTTTGACACCTAAATCCACGCACCATATGTGTCTCTGCGGCCGCCGGCCCCGACGGCTTTCGCCCCTCTCTGTCGGGGATGCCCGGCACCTGGGATGCCCCCCCCCCCCCCCCCCCCTCCTCCCCCGGCTCCAGCCCTTCCCCAGGAGCCGGCTCCGGCCATCGAGAGCCCCGGCAGCAGCTCCGTGCCGCGGATGACGCTCCAAAAGCCGGAGGCGGCCCTGCGGGCGATGCCCCCGCGTTTGTGTCTGCACAACGATGGGATTCCCGGCACTCCTCAACGTGAGGGTATACAGTCCTACGGAGAGAGAGAAGAAAAGGGCGGTGGGGAGGATGAGCGGTAAAACGAACGGCAGCGGAGCTGCTTTCCGTTGAAAACCTTCCCCCGGTGCCTGCAGGCATCGGGACTCCCCTGGCGCACCGACTGTGCCCTCCCGCCCCTCCACCCCGGACGCGCACTCGGAATATCATTTTTCCTCATTTTTAATTTAATTTAATTTGATTTTGAACG